ATGAACAACACTTATGATTTAAGTGCTATGATGGCACAGAAGATGATAATTTAACAGGAAAACAAAAGCAGTGGTTTGTAGATTTACTTTGATAGTGTTATTTATTTATTTATTTATTTAATTGTATGACTTTCTGTTGAATCACCACACCAGGGTAAGCACATCCCTATGCTCCGGAGGGGAATTTTCTCTGGAGCTTCAGCTCCTGGTAGGGTTTCCCCAGGGCAAATTGGTCTTTGAATGAGGGGTGAGGGGATTCTGATGAGCTAGAAGAAGCACCCTCTATTTGTGCCCACGACCATTAGAGAGGAACATCACAATCCGCTGGGTAGGAGGTGAGGGCCAGGCCCTTGACGAGCTACTTCCTGTTGACGTAGTCTGGCTTTAGGAATGTGCTGTGTCACTGTTCTTTCAGGTGAGGCGCTTGGTCTGTGGTGGGAGGTTAAGTGGTACCAGCAAGAAATGCATAAGTTGGTCTCACCTCTACGTTCGTCTTGGGCTCTGGAACCAAACTCCTGGAGAGGTGCTGGACTCTCTCCTTCCCAGTAGTTGTCTAGTTAGATTTTAAAATTTTCTATAATGAGCAAGAGAGCTTCCTCTTTGCGACTCCAGGAATATTTATTTATAGGCCTCTGTTTGGCACCAATCACTCCTGTTGCCTGACCTCTTTTTCTTGACCTCCATGGTTCCACTTATTGATTTTTCATGTTTCTTCCCATTTACTGTGATTTATTTATTTATGTATTTATTTTTTTTTCAATTGAAAGATGAATTATAATTTCTTTTGCAACAGTTCAGACTGCCTACTTCCTCCCTGCATTTGGGTCTTCCAGCAAAATCTACATGCCACACACTTATGCTTTGCTCTTCATTCAAACTATCTACATAAATCTGTGTCATATAGACAGAATTGAAAGAAAACAGAACAAGGACATAACGTCTTTGATCACTTTAAAACCTTGCAGCCATTAAAAGTAATTCCAATTAGAAATTGTTTATTTGAATTATAGCATGCTTGAACCGATTTAAATGATAATTTCTTCTTGCCCTTTAATTGTGATGACTTGCTATGACTCACTCAGATCTTGCTGTTGTGATTTGATATCAAAGATAGATTAAAATTTAAATGGCTTAAAAGAAACTGAAAAAAATGTGGGTGGCTCTTTGGCAATAATGACTCAATCGTGGGAAAAAAAAACAGTCTTAAACTAATTTCTCTGGACCTTTACATGTGTTGCACAGCTGTCACGCCTTCAGAATAACTTCTCTCGTCATTGATTTAACATAACCTTGATTTTCTCATATTGGGACAATTTTTTTTTTCTCTTTTCAAATTCCTCTGCAAGGTCAGAGCGCAAAGTCCCTTACAATTAACGGAAAAAGCCTTGGACCGCCACCGTCTTTCAGTTGGAATTCTCACCATGGAAACGCTGCCATTGTATGTGAGCTGAATTGAGTAATGCAAAAAAAAAAACAAAAAAAAAAAAGGAGTCATGGTAAGGTGAGAAATAATTTCATGGGTGATTTGGAACCCACACGGATGTGACTAACAACTGCATTTTTTAAAAAAAGTTACAGCCACACTGCCAAAAAAAGGAAAAAAACCAAACAAATTTCCAACTTTTTTACTTATTTATTCTGACTTAATACTGCATTTACAAAGCGTCATTTGACACCCAAAGCTAATATACACTGAAATATCAGATGTGACTCAAGAGGCATGTGCATGCTTGACTCCCAGAGCTGAGCTCAAATTAAAAAGGTTTTTTGTTCATGAATAAAGTTGTAACACTTTATTTGAAGGGGTTTGAATAAGACTGACATGACACTTTCATTAACACGAATATGCCTTCATAAATATTTATTACTGTTGTCTTAAAGCGTCATTCGGTAAATTATGACACTTTTAATACAAAGTTGAAATTATTCAAAATGTCTTTGTTATGACAACTTGACATTAACCAAGAAATCATTACTGATATAAATTTGTTATAAAAGTATGACTGATTGCACTTTAAAAATTAGGTAACTTTATGTTATTAAATGTAAAGTTTAAACAGTAATGATTTCCTGGTTAATGTCAAGTTGTCATAACAAAGACATTTTGAATAATGTCAACTTTGTATTAAAAGTGTCATAATTTACCGAATGACGCTTTATGACAACAGTCATAAATATTCATGAAGGCTTATTCATGTTCATGACAGGTGTTATGTCATGTTTATGACAGTGTCATGTCAGTCTTATTCACCCCCCTTCAAATAAAGTGTTACCAATAAAGTTTTAAAATGTAAAGGAAACATAATATGAGAGACAACACTGACTAACATAGTTGGGATATCAACTGTAAGACTGATAGTCTGACAAGATGCTATCATAAATATGAGTAAAAATAAAATTATTAGAAGAACGAAGGCACAAAAACAAGGCACAATAACAACTTCCTAATAGCACTACTTCAGTAATATAACTTTGAAGCTAATTTTTAGAACATACACAAGTCAATTCAGTCAGACTGACCACTGATTTACGGTATTCAAGAAAAAAGCAAGGCAGTAAAGTCTCAGAAAGGATTCTTTTGCAAGAAAAAAAAGCAAGATGCATATTTCAGCCAAACTTTGTGACATTAAATATATTTTATGAATACGATCCAAAAACGTACTGTGCTTGTGTAAATTCAGAGGTTGGTGGTTATTAAGGTTTCCTGCTAGAACACTGCCCATATGTGTGGTTAAAACGAAGTCTGCATATTGATATTTAAATTATCCTTCCACTATCACATAATAGGATTTATCACACATTCACAGGTGCACAAAATACCAAGCCGTAAAGATTAAGTGCTAAGCAGAAATTTACACCCCGTAAGATAACTTTATGCTCATTAAACACGCGCGGATGTATTTTATTTTACATATATGCTCTTTTCATATTGGTTTTAGCCTTGAAGCCCTCTCACCGTTAAGGAGATGAAATGTCCACACAGCATTCACAGCATGTGTTATCTTCACTTTGACTAAAACTGAATCACAGGTGAAAATGCTCAGTGGTGGGCTACAGTCTCAGAGCAGAAATAGTTCATTATGATGCAAACGTCATCTCTAAAAAGAAAAAAAAAAAAACCGCAGATATTTTTCTCAACCAACCCTCTTTGGAGTTAACTGTCTGGTCGAGGTGAAAACATCTCACTTCATTTGTGTTTCACAGAGAATGATCCCTGAGCAGATACTGAATATTTCACAAAGGTTTATCGCCAAAAAGGAGTTTGCAAATATGTTGTACTGCAAATCACAAAAACACCAATTAAGGACTATTGATAACAAGCTGAAAAAAAAAATGCTTACAATGAATGCCTTTCCTAAAATAATCAGGGAACATATTTTTTATTCTCTGTCTGCAGTTGATCTTTTTTGCACATCAGAACTGAATTATTTACTGTACTGTGACAACCACTCAAGGAGCATGCAGGTCAGATGAACAAAAAAATGAGCTTGTTGCCACAGCAAATAGTGGAGATCTTCCAACAGCATGTGAGAAATACTGCACAGGTCCGAATCACCTTCACACTCAGTTCTACCTTCAGCTTCCATAAACAGGGAAAACATCAATTAGTAAATAAACACATTCTAATTGTATTATCCCAAAGGCATCTTTGTACCGCACCGACTCACTAAGTTTAATTTTAAAAACGTTACTATGTGTTTGCTAATCCTAAAAAAAAAAAATCACATAGAAAGACCAAAACCTTACTGAAGCAAAAGATCTTTTTTTTAAGAGCCGCAATTATTTTGCTTTAAAAGGTGGAACGTGTATTAGGCCTTCACTTAAAGTGGCCACTACAATGGACTGCCATCCAAAAACGTTTTTATTAAATGTGTGTGGGTGTTGATCTTGCACACAAAAGCCCCATCATTGGACTCTTGCGTGCCGCTCCATACATTCACGCCCACTGGGCGACCAGTGAATACACATCACAGTTTCTTGGGATGCTTGTATTTCTAAAACGAACCAGTAAACATTAAAATTATTCTTCACGTTCCTCCTCGTGAATATTAAACTTCTGTCGGTTTCTTTTTTTTTTTTTTGCCACATTCGTTAGCAAAAATAGTTAAGTGAAAAACTGAGTTCTGCATGTCTGGGAAGTGAGTAACGATTTTCCAAGTGCCCCTGTTTTGTACAGGGCATGCATATTGGGATGAAGGGTGTAAAACATGTAGTTACTGGCTTGTTTCTTTCATACTTATTAATTGCTTGACCATCTTGGGATAAAAATTTGATGCTTTAGAGGCATATTGTAAGAGTCTCCAACAGACAAATAATTATTAGTTGAGTAAAGTAAAAGGTAGGCTGATTACAAAACCTCATTGTGGAGTCTTTCCATAACATTTAAATAGCAGTTTAAATTTGTTAACATTGGCAATAATCTTTTTTGGTTTCTCTTAACCTTGTGACTGTCCCAATATCTTCCCTAATATTCCCGATTTTGCCACTCTGAAAGCGTAACGCCACAGAGAAGCTGCCGTCACCCTTAACTTGCAAACAGAAAACCAGGTGGATTTTGCTCAGTGATCAGGCTAAGTTCAATGAGCTGTTTAAACTCAGACATACACAATGCAAGAGAAGTTTTGATGATTTTAGTAATAATTTCACTATTAGAGTTTAAATACTACTGGGTTGAGGTTGCTTCCAAAAGTTCAGATTGTGCCTTCATGGGAGGATCAAAATATTGCATTTTAATATAAATTGAATGGATACCTAGACTGTTGGAAAAAAACAAAAAAAAAAAAACATGCAGAGACGTTGCTGTCATTCAGTCTCCTTCCTAAAACCAACTTAAGAAAGAAATGCAATATTTTAGAGATGAAGTGAGGTCAAATCATTCTTGGTTTTGGTCTTTTCATGGGATTTATTAACCAATACTGATACTACTTCTCAGATTGTGGTAGTGATTTGAGTCAAACACAGATCAATGGAATCCTCCCAGCTCTGGTACGGCCTGGAGGACATGTCCATGGCTAGTCATACGGGCCTGGCTTGTCTCCCGTCACCCCTCCCTTCGGTGGCGCAGGTGTGGTCCCGAAGCGTGCTCCTCACTCTGCTCACCCCGTGACAGTCGGCGTGACCCCGTCCCCCGGGGCAGCAGAAGTCTCTGAAGCACCTCTTAAAGTTCTCATCCAGGAACGCATAAAGGATGGGGTTGAGGCTGCTGTTGGTGTAGCCCAGCGCCACGCAGAAGAAGTAGGCGGCCATGACAGCAGTGGTCTCGGGCACGTTGGCTGACAACGCTTTGACCAGGATGAAGATGTGAATGGGGGTCCAGCACACCACAAACACCGCGACCACCACCAGAACCAGACGGGTGATCCGTCGAAGGTTGCGGTCTTTCTCGCGCGAGCCGGACAGGAGGCGCACGCTCTTCAGCCGCAGCACCATCAGAGTGTAGCAGACGGTGATGATGATGAGGGGCGCCACAAAGGCGAAGATGAAAACGCATATCTTCATCAGGGTGTCCCAGTAGGTGTAGGGATCAGGGAACTGTAAAGCACATTCTGTGGTTCCTGTTAGTTATGGAAAAGTTACAGAAGAATTAGAAGAGAATATGTAAGGAGTCAGTTACAAATGCGCAAAATGAGCAAGAGTATTCTGCTTTAAGAGATTCCAACTCTTGGTCTTCTATAAAAAGAAAAGTTAAAAAAAATCAGTGGTCAACAATTACAAATATGTTTAAAAGTTTAAAAATTTTGAACTTCTTATCTTTTGATTGTAGATTCCCTACATGAATGCATTAATGCTCAGCCTACATCCTGCAAACGTCTCGTCTGGATCCACAGACTGAAAGTACATGGTACCTCAATGGTATACCATGCCTTGCAAAAGTTTGAACCTTTCACATTTTGTCATGATACAACCACAAACCTTTGTGTATTTTATTATCATTTAAAGTATGGGGTAGAAGATATTGTGAAGTCGAAAGATATTTGTGCCTAATTTTTGTGATTTACTTTAACAAATGAAACATGAAAAAGTGTGGCAGGCATCTCTTAAAAAGCACCCGAGTCTTTATGGCAGGATGCGGACAGGTTCAAAGGGTGTACATCCTTTTGAAAAACTCCTAAAGTCCAGATGTAAAATCATTTATCACTTAGCGCTGTGAGGTTTTGAGGTCAGATGAAAATTATGAGTCAGTGATCTAATAGCTTCCTGTAAAATAAATCTCACAATTTCCCTGTCAAGTCTGGAAGCTTTTGTAGACTTTTATAAAAATTAAAGAACATCTTTTTCAAGAAACTGAAGCAGTCAGCTAGAATAATTAGGGTCAAATATCCTTGAGTGAAGTAAAATACGAAGGAAGACTATAGGGAACAGAGCAGCGGCTGATGTACCGTTGTTGGTGTTGGTGTTGCCGAGGACCATGGCAGGAATCCCAGCAGCCGAGGACAGAACCCAGATGATCACATTGATGATCTTCGCCTTCACTGGCGTGCGGAAATCCAGAGCCTTGACCGGGTGACACACAGCAATGTAGCGGTCCACGCTCATCATCGTCAGGGTGAAGATACTGGTGAACATGTTGTAGTAGTCGATGGAGATGAAGACTTTGCATGCCACCTCGCCAAACGGCCAGGAACTGAGCAGGTAGTCGGTGCTCTGGAAGGGCATGGTGGTGGTAACCAGGGCGTCGGCCACCGCAAGGTTGAAGATGTAGATGTTGGTGGCTGTTTTCATTTTGGTGTATCTGCAAGGGGTGAGGATGCAAATACGGGGTACAAGCGCAGTTATGGTGTAGCTGACTTACAGTGTACACTGTAAAAAGTTTAAATAATTAAAGAGTTGATAATGAGAATAGTTTTTTTTTTATATACAATTTGGTGTTTTCCCCGTTATGATGATGGATGCTGTATTATTTTAGGCCTTCAAACGGGTCATTTGAGTTGTCCTTTTTTCATGGTGGAATGGTTGTGCAAAATATTTATTCAGTCTTTAGGTATGACTTTGACTCACAAAAATCCCACAGGGAAAAACCCCCAAAACACAACAATTTCTTTATTATAAAAATAATTTAACTGATTTACTTAATTATTTAGGAAAGTTTCAGCAGGAAATTCAACACTGTATAACTTTTTCACTCTATTCTTGCCTTTGTACATTTCTATGAAACTCGTTTGTACACATTCCTATTAAACATAATTCATTCCTCAGGTAAAGCCTGCATTTGGTGCTTTGTTTGATGCAACGTTCTGATTCTTGACAAAATATTGTGGTAAGTCCCTGCCAGCATGCCTAGGTGGGCACCATATGGGGGAAAGGTGGACAGACATATGGGTCCCATATGGGTTTGCCCATGTAGGGCCACAGCCTACGTGGACCCTACATGGGTCCTAAATGGGCAAAGCCTTGTGGGCCCACCACCATGAAGGGCCCATTTGGTGCCCATGTGGGCTGTGGCCCTACATGGGCAAACCCATGTGGGGCCACCGTGGAACCCGCGGACAAACCCATATGGGACCCATCTGGTCTGCCCTCCTTTTCCCAATATGGGGCCCACCTGGGCATGCTGACAGGGGTAAGACAGAAGAAGTATGTGTTAGTTATGCACCCCGGATTTCCTTTAACGTAAAAAAAAAAAAAAATAATAACAATCACTGTAATAATGGGATGAGATCATCATTATAGATTAAATTGTTCAGCTCTCCTGCAGAAATTCTGGCGCAAAGTAAAACTTGTGGACACCTAATTAAAATGATAATAAAAATCGGTCCTTTCATCCCTGATATCTGAATCAGTATTCCAAGCTTTGCATTGGGCTTCTCGCAGGACCTCACGTGTAATTGAACGGAAGACATTTAATAATGAAAAATAAGCTGTGCAGCTTCTACAAAACCTTACAGCTTGGACGGTAGTTCAAAGATTAACAGAATAAAAAGGAAAATATGCTACCTTTTCTATAGGGTCGAAAACCACAATCCCACAAAGGAGACTTCACTGAGACAAACAGAGAAAAATCCAATATATATGTAAATAAAATAAAAAAAAGTAATTATTTTTGCTACGTGATGTACTGGTTGGAGCTAAACTTAAACAGAAGGCATTCATGACTGCCGCTGAAAAGATAGTCAGCAGTCTCACAATAACGCGCCGCTTCTGTGCGCGCATGTTGGCTACGTGGGGCGCCTGACACTTACTGACATGTCACAGAAACGCACACAAACACGCATACGCACACGCGCGCTCACACACACATATACCAAGCACCCGAACTCACCTAATGATGACATACATCACCAAACAGTTGCCCACCAAGCCCACCACAAACACCACCGAGTAAACGGCGACTATGATGGGGATGATGGGTGACATCGGCTCAGGTTCCGCGTCCCAGGTGCCGTTGGGGGTGTAGTTGAAGATGTCCGACAAGCCGGGCTGCCAGGTGAAGTTCGGGGCGCACTGCCCCGGCTGGCCCAAGGGACAGCGGTCCTCTTTGAAAATGTGCACCACGCCGCTCTCCATGGTGCTGAACACTGGCTCTCCTTCTTTTTCTGCTGCTGCTGCTGGGCGCAAACTCACCACCCGAAACAAGTGAATCGCCTAATTAGGGCGGAAGAAGGTAGCATTTTCAATTTAAAACAAGTCTCAGTTTGTTGTGAGGAAAAACTACGCGCAAAAGCCCCGCGCTCAAGGACATCTTCACACAGGAGCAAAACCACCTTACCTCTTTTTAGTCCTTTCCTTCCCCTCAAAATAAAGCTCCTTTCAAAGAAACCAAGGCTGATCAGGAGGAGCTATGAGGACTCTCGACCAAAAAAATCGGATGCAGAAAAATATGAGCAGAAAGGGCAGGTTTCTGTGCAGAGTATGCAGGAGGAGGACAATTCACAGGCTGTGCCACCGCTGCGCGCCCGGAGGTGCGCACTGGAAGCCCGCACTGCTCATTCAGTGACATCAGAGACTGAGCCAACACATATGACAGCCAGCAGATAGATAGGTTCAGACCATATGCAGTCAACTTCTTTCAGACTTTACTTAGATTTGAGTGATTGTTGTGTTACTGATGAACCCGCAGACACAGCGTGTAGATGGTGATCTTTGCGAACTGAGCTGTCCTAATCCTCAACAATTTTCAAACTTTTTTTTTTTTTGCACTGTGCAAATTAAAGTTGGCAAAATGTATAGCAGAACATATTTTCTAAAATTTCATACTTTTTTTATTTTATTTTTTTTACCATAGAAATGTTAAAAATAAAAGAAAAACAAAGTATGATTGGTATGAGTAGAAGTAGGAAAGTTGTCCCTCAGCAGGGGCCAGTCAGATAAGAGCAAAATGAATTGTTTTGTTTTGGCCTGCAGCTAAAAATTTACTCTGCACATCACCCGGAGTGTGTTATTTCCTTGGTGAACCATGGCAGTGTTGGCATCATGCAGTGGATATGTTTTAATCTATCAGAGAAAGGGAAGTTGGGTAGATGAATTTCACTCAATACAGGGCCGTTTTAGGAGAAAACTTGTTAGAAGCTGCAAGGGATGTTTGTCTTGGATCTGTGGTTAGTTAGAAAATGACACAGAAAGGTTCAACAAAGCGTCAATTTAGGGCACTGAATACAGATGCACAACTCATTTTCCACACTTTTATTTTGTAAAACGCGTCACTTTGTGCTGCTCTATCAAACAAATCCCCACTGTGTCTGAGATTGCAACGTGAGTAAATGTGTAAAAAGTATGTGGTGTGAATACTTTGGCAAGACATTGCATGACTTCAGTGCAAAACAAGCACCTCACTTAAAAGGTGTGATTGCAGTTTTCATCAACAGGGTAAGAATTTCATAAAGTATTACGAACAAGATTAAACACGAAAACAAGGAGGAATTTGGAACAGCTTCAAAGAAAATAAAAGAAAAAGACTTAATTACCTCCTTAGCACCTTCTGACTCATTTTTTTTATTTTTTATATCAGCGTTATTTTTGCTCTGAACAAAGACGAGCCCCAATTTCACCAAAGATTCTTAGCTGTGTGGTGTTGTTGTTGCACACAGCCCCTTTCATGTCCATCATTGTCCCTGTTTTATCAGTTCCATTTTTCTCTCCGCCGTAACGCCACCCTCGCACAACAACGTCACGGCTCTGAAGGCTCAACATGAAAAGACACAGAGGATCTAGATGAAGAAAACTCCTCTTGACTTAAATCACATGCTTCCCCACTCGAGCAGCCCCTCTGCTCCCTCCTGCAGGAGATATGAGACAGGTTTCGACCAGCGCGTCATTAAGCTGGTGCTGTTTCCCTTCACTTTCTTTCATGCACTAGCAGTAGTTGCTTAGAGACCCATCACAGCCAGGTGTTTGTTTGAGTGACAAAGGCTTTTCGTCATTGTGTTCCCACATTGTCAAGGCTGTCCTCGCTTGACTTTGCGAGGCGGCCCCTGTTTGTCAGTACAAATATTTGCTAAAAAAAAAAAAAAAAAAAAAAAAACATCTCAGAGGTCCAACTTGAACCTTGAACTGAGAGCGAGTGAATCACCTCCTCTATTGTGCGAGGGACTCGGTGAAACAGTTGCAGTGTTTACGTTTAATCTTAATATTGCAGTGCCAAAGGTCTGTTTATTCAGATACAATCAGGTCTGCCTCTTCTGGCACTTGAAGCAATGATTTTTTATTTTTTTTATTATTTCAAAGGGAGGATGGATGGCAAAAGGCTTTTATGTTGCCTGCGGAAAAGAGGTCAAGGGTAGTGCTGCTTTTTTTTACAGCCCTTTTTTTATTGTTACGCTTAAAACTTTGGGTACTGTCCTTTCAATTCGACTAAAAACAAGGAAGTAAGATCCTGATTCAGGATGCCTCAACATCTAAACTGAACAAGGCTTATTACTTTAAGAAAATTATCAATCTTGGCTTTGTTGCAACAACTAACTGTAGCAAAATAACCAATTTGTGTTTTCCCATGTCAAAAAAAAAAAAAAGAAAAGAAAAGAAAAGCGAGGAAAATTGCTGCAGGAAGCTTGGCTTGGTATTGATGTTGCCAAAAATAACCATAATAAGTTGAGTGGTAATTTTATTGGTTCTGACGTTGTTGATCTAGGAGCAGATGAATGCTGGAAATGAGAGTAATGAGAGGAAAATGAGTGAAAAGTGGTGGATCCACACACTTTCAGAGCTACTGATCTCTGTACAGCTGGAGGAAACCAAAAGCAGTGAAAACTTTTAAATTACCCTTGACAGGACATCTATTATTAATATTTAGTTCTGGTTTTCACATAAGTGGCAATAGGGAGGCCATTGTTGAATGGAAAATGGACTGAATTTACACAGCAGGTTTTGACTCATATGGACCTCTCAAGGCGCTTCACACTATAGGCAGATTCACCCCAGTGCTCTCAGAAATGTGCGCCCACTTATACACTTAGCAGCATCATAGTGTGGAAACGCTTTTCTTCAGCAATTCATTTAATTTTCTTTATATTTTTTCCGGTTCACGACAAATGTCATCGGAGGAATATAAACAGCTCCAACCTTTTTTTTTTTAACAGAAATACACAATAAAAGTGATCAAAACAATTCAGTCATGTATACACAGTCAACTCCAAGTACACACTGTTTGATCCAGTTGTAATACAACGAGGTCAAACGTTGGCGGGTATTATGCATAACTGACTTTTTTTGAGTTTTATTTAATGTTGTGATGTTATTCCATCGTCAGACGAACACATACCTGGTGTGTTGCTTTGACTCATTTGTGAATGTCTGAGCCATTTGGGGGCGACTAATCATTTGAGCGTACAATGTACAATGTTCAAAGTTAAACGCTGTTCCCGCCCCTCACCAGCCTGGCGGCAGCATCAATTAGCAAACACCTGGTGAAACTAAGCATCTACTGAGCTTGCAAACTACAATGTTCCTATAGTAACGGTTATAAACGGCAAAAAAATGGAGGCCACATTCATTTTTTTGTGGCTATGATGCAAGTCAAATGTCTTTCAAGCTGTTTTTGATATGTACATCATTTTGGCTACAACTGAAGGTATCATAGTTCCTTGATTGTGCTATGAAATGACACCATGTGCCTGGATGACATGTTGTACTCCCCCTTTAAAGAACTCCAGCTGATTCCATCGAGTCGCTGACATTTCAGCGAGCCCTCCTTCTAAGCAAGCACGCAGCGATGGTGGACAGGGAAACAAGACAGAGTAAAAAGGGAAGGATGAATGGAAGTACAGAGCGATCCTGGGAAAAAAAAAAAAAAAAAAAAAACCTTGTGAAGTGAGCAAACAAACTAAAAAATAGAGGCCCG